AGACATCACAAGCGGCCATGAAGCTTTTAACCTCTTTTTTTTATGCTGGGCCAATTAAAGTTATGAGTGATGCGTTTGTATGTCCGTAAGAACCCAGAATGTCCGGAAGAAGGAGAAGCATGGAATTCCTGTAGAAGGCGGGCACACCACTGAGATATAGAAGGTACGAAAATACCGGTCTTGTAATAAATCAAGTTACCTTGCAGCTTAAAAGAGCCTGTATTGTAGGGGTTATGTAGTAAGTCTTGAAAGAGCTTGGCCGTGGAAGAATCTGCCGTATAGGAATTCTGAATCTTGGATACACAATCAAATAGTGGTTGTGATATCCCCATTAAAGATAGAAGGTCGGAACGGCAGGACAGTGCATCAGCAGCTGCATTAGAAGCCCCTAGACGATACTCCAAGGTATAGTTGTACCCAAGTAGTTTCAACAACCACTTTTGTTGTACCGGAGTAGTAAGTCGTTGGTCTAAGAAATATTTGAGTGTTTGGTGATCCGTGAGAATTGTGAAGTGATGACCAATCAAATATGGGCCCCACTTTTGTACAGCAAACACTACAGCCATCATTTCCTTATCATACATTGACAAGGTTTGGTGTTTGGGGGCCAAGGGCTTACTGAGGAACTCGATGGGATGGTTATCTTATGCCAACACTGCTCCTATACCAACGTTTGAAGCGTCACACTCAAGAATGAACGACTTGGTGAAGTCTGGGAGAACCAGCATGGATGTGGTGGACAATGCAAGTTTGAGGGCCGAGAATGCCGTGTCGGTTGCCGAGGACCAAAGGAAACTGTCTTTTTTAGCAAGTATGTGAGAAGCTTGGCAATGAGACCAAAATGGCGGACAAATTTGCTGTAGTATCCTGCCAGACCCAAGAATCCGTGAATGCCCCTAAGACTTGTAGGCGTCGGCCATTCCACAATAGCTGCAATTTTGGATGGGTCAACCTGAACCCCACTAGCTGAAATGATATGGTCTAAATAGGCAATCGAGTCCTGACCAAATGTACACTTGGATGGTTTCAATTGCAATTGGTGCAACTGGAGAATGTCGAACACGGTTGTGAGGTGGGAAATATGGCGGTTTAGGGAGTCACTGAAGACTAAAATATCATAAAAAAAGACGAGAACGGATTTCTGGAGCATGGGGCTTCAAGATTGAATTCATCAGTGTTTGGAATGTGGCTGGTGCGTTGGTCAGGCCAAATGGCATGATTGTGAATTCGTAATGGCCTTCATATGTACGAAACGCCGTCTTATGGATGTTCGCCTTGTGCATTCGGATTTGGTGGTACCCGGAACGAAGATCCAATTTAGAAAATATCATAGCACCGTTCAATTCAGCCAATAGTTAATCAATAATAGGGACCGGGAAACAATCTTTGATGGTGACCGCATTTAGCTCTCTGTAATCCACACAAAAACGCCATGACAAGTCAGTTTTGGCCACTAATCAGGTCGGGGATGAGAAGGGACTCGAGTTGGGGTGGATAATGTCTGCGGCTAGCATCTCGTCAACTTGGCGCTTTAATTCGGCTTTCTGGGCATGCCCGTATCGATATGGTTGAACATTGATAGGCCCCGTACCTGGGAGTAAGGGAATTCGATGATCGATCTCGCGATGAAAGGGCAAAGATGTTGGTGGTTGGAAGAGACTGTTATATTTAGTGAGAATGGATTGAAGTAGGGCGGGTGGTGGAATTGGTTGGTGAGAGGGGCGAGTAAGGCTTGACAATTGGGATACAACATGGAGAGGCTTGCCATGAACAATCTCAATACTTGTAGGCACATAAGAGCGCAGAACAGGGGAATTCGAGGACCCAACCAATCGGTAATTGGTTCCATGGATTGAGAATTCCATAATTTTTAACAAAAAATTCCATCTGATGAAACCCAATGTTTCCAACCAATCCACTCATAATACCATGTCACATCCCGTCACCGCAAGAAGGTGAAAATCACTGGTAAATGTATAGCCTTGAAGGCGCACTGAAACTTGGTGAGCCACCCCTTTAATGCTAAGACAACATCCTGTGGTGACCATGACTGCCTCGGTTCGAGACGGGTCAACGTGCAAGCCCAAACGAGTCATCACTTGCGGGTTGAGAAAACTTTGATCAGCCCCAGAGTCGATGAAGACTTGGATCGATGTTTGGAAAATGAATTCGTCCAAGCGCATCACACGACCCCTAGCACGCTTAGTGGCTGATATGGCATGTAGGGCGATTGGATGCTCCGGATGTTCTACCACGGGAGGGGGCAGTGGTGCGGGGATCTCTGTCGCTAGGACAGGGTCAGGATCTTCCTTTTCCGCTAGTAACAGTAGTATGTGGGATTGACGACACCGATGACCGGGTCGATACTGGTTATCACAGTTGAAGCAGAGTCCTTGCTCGCGACGGTTGCGCATCTCTGCCTGGGTGAGCAATAGGATTGGTTTTGGCAGATGAGGGGTGGGTGTTGTAGGAAGAGGGCGAGATGTAGTGGGTTGGTTAGGTGGGGTAGGTGAGGGGGAAAATGGTTGTTTAGAAATGTAAAGGGAGGAACGATAGTGTTAGGGACGGACCACTGGTCAGTGACCCTGTTTGTACTCGTAGATGCGAGCGAGTTCAATTGCTCGTGCCAGAGAGGAAGGTCCTTGAGCCACGACGTTATCTTGTAGCTCGTCTTTGAGGCCGCCCAAAAACGTGCCCAGTAGTTGAGCTTCAGTCCAGTCCGGAGTGCGGCAGGAGATGCGAATGAACTGGCCCACATACACCTCCACTGTGGTGGTTTGCGTGATATGTGACAAGGCCATATTAATGTTCAAGGAGTTAGTTGAGCCAAATCGTTGCAGCAGCTGGGTCGTGAAACTGGCCCATGAGGAGAGGGGGAATCGTATCTTGAACCACCGGAGCCAGTGGGCTGCGTCTCTTCCAAGATGAAGACCTACCATTGTGATGCTGCGGTGCTCGGTTATCTCGTGATAGTCTAAAAACTCCTCAGCCATCGCAATCCATCCGTAAGGGTCGTCTCCAAAGAAACGAGGAAGTTCGATTTTGAGGTGTTTGTGCCCAGGAAAGGTCGAGGATGTGGGTTGGGGGGTGTGGATGTAAGACGGTTTGGGGGGAACAAAAGAGGTGGTAGGCCTAGTCGTGGATGTGGGTAGGTAGCGGGAGGTGGAGGGTCGGCTTAGAGCGTGGGTTGTGGTGGATGTTGGGGTGAAGGGAAGGGATGAGGGCCCGGTCGTGAGGTGGGAGCCCGGAGGCTGAGTTGTTGGGAAGGGTGGGGAAGGAGAAAGAGACCATGTCGGTGGTGGGATGGGGGTGTGGACGGTAGGGAAAGGGGTGGGGCCTAGCGAAATGGGAATGAAGCCGATTGGAATTTGTGGGTTGGGTAAGGGAGGGTTTTTGAGGGCACGAACTTTGTCTAAAATGGTTTGCTGCAGTTGGTCTTGACGAACCTGGTGGATCGAGAGATCGGCCATGGCGTGCTGCAGGTCGTCGTAGCGGATATTCAATAGCGAGATGGATTCCTGAAACTCCTGTAGCTGGGTGAGTATCTGGTGCTGTTGAAACTCACGATCCAATTCGTCCTCCAGTACATCCACAACCGTAACGGACGCCTTACTTTTGCCCATGGTTCCAACCTGGCTCTGGATACCAAATGGTAAGTTCCCGAAGGACCAAGAGGGGAATTGCAGAGAAAAAAGGAAAATGACAGAGAAATTGTAAAAGAAACAAATTTTCATTCATCTCCCAAATGGGAGTCGCAACAGGGATAATATGCCCACATTTGCACTATAGACAAAAGTGTTAGGTAAAATGCTGATTCATTATCCTACTACTAATACACTACTAGATAAAGGAAATAACTAAGGAAATGGGCCTGAATGGGAAAGGGGTCTTAACACTGAACTTGCAGGGAGAGCGATCGGAGAAGAAGAAGATGATGAAGTGAGATTGTTGGGGTCGAAGGAAAAAATTGGGGCTGAGTGATTTGAGAAATGAACATTTTTTTTTTTTTGGTTTGCCACCAAAAAGTTTGGGAGCAAACTCCAAAGCTTTCACAGTTCAACTAACCGCCATTTCGGATGGATTACAACACATATAGCAAGAAGCAGCGGCAAAAAACACAAATGAACACTCATGTGAATCTTTTTTGGGGAAACCACATGTGTAAGCACAAAAGACAAAGTTGTGTGTGTGTTTGTTTGCTCCCCATTGGCAACATATATTTGACGGTTAAAATTGATTCAACAGTCTTGGTCATTCAATTTAAGTTATATATCAAATTTGGAAATGTTAATGATATTTTAAAAATTTTATTCTACACCTCATAAGTGTATTTTTCTTTCTAATTATAGAAAGTTTGGAGTGCAAAATGAGATTTTTAGAATGCTAATAATAATTTCCTCAAATTTAATAGTAAATATGTGTCGGCACTGAAGAGGACTAGTGTAACAGTGGAAATTAAACCCTCTTTACCCAATTCGATGTTCACTTAAGCCCAGCAGCGATGAGCCGCCCTTTTGGTCCGTCAAAAAACCTGCATTCCTCGTCTGAATTCTATTGTTATGCGCATACTCAAACCAAAACAACGTTATTTTATACCAGAGATTTTTTTTCTTCTTGATATCGAACGGCATCCGACTCTTCGACATAAAAATAAAAATATAAAAAAAATAAAATGATAGCATGGACTCGTAGATTTGGTACGTTCATAAATCTAACAATTCCCTTTGATTATATCCTCTCGACATTGCCCGAGGATTTCGGAGAACGATGACATGGTGTTAATATTAATTTCTTTGTGTCATTGAATAGTAGTCTACTAGTATTCTTCTTCACTTATAAGTGAAATACTTTAGATTTAATTCTCACTACAAGTGAATTTGAATCATATTATTGCTCACTCACCATCTTCCTTAGCATAGATAATATTTTTTGTTAATAAGTAAATAAATAAAATATAACTACCACTCATCCCCCAGTAACCCTTCACGATCCGTCTTCTCCTTGACTCTAGACCAAGACAGATCCTTTCTGTTCTGCCGTCTGCCGTCTGCTCCTTTACTCTAGACCAAGACCAATCCCTTCTGTTCTGCTTCTGCCATTGGTCCAGCAGCCAGTTTGCCAGCATCGTCCAACTTCCAAGCCATCAGTCAGCCAGCCACACCGCCATCAGCCCTAGTCCCCACCAACGGGCACTGCTAATTTTAAGGTAAATATCTAATTTTTTTAATTTAAATTTCTAATGGTTTTAATCACTTATCTGACAGTTCTTAATTTCGCCCATTTTTCTAACAATTTCTGGAGTATCGTGTGCTCCGGAGTATCTAAAAAAGTCCCATCGAGGGATTGACGACAAAGTCGTTTGTCTTAATTATTGGAAAGTACGGGAAGACTGCCAATTGGTCCTTGTGCAATCGGGTAGCTGCACTCTGGTGGAGTTCTGTTTATCGGGAAGGGATCATCTCTGGATCCTTTATACCAAATTCTCCTCATCAATCAATTCAAATTTTTAAAATTTAATGCAACTCTTTAAATTTAATGCAACGGCTAAAATTATTATAACTTTTAAAGTGATTATCTTTTTTTAGTTTTTAGATCAAATTTCAAAGATTTGTATTGATTGATGAGGTGGATTTGATGTTTATCCTTGCTCGTATTCTTCAGCTCGTAATGATACCCAACTTTTTTGTTATATATCTTTCAATTATTCCTTTGCCTTTTTTTTGTTTAAAGAAAAATAAAATAAAATTTTGAAACACGTCTAGTGAATAATGTCAAGAAAATGATTTCTGCACGTCTCTTTTACACATTTTGCACACTTCGTTTACTTGTGTCTCTCGATTGTATTTTTATTTGTTCAAAACCAAGGTTAGAAAAAGTAAAAGTATACATAAGAGAAAAATAGCGTGTGAAAATCACTTCAATCAATCATCATGCTTAATTTCTTACACCCTAATCCACGTTTTTCTTCTAAATTGATTTCCCTCCAAATCATATTTTCTGGTATCTAATTTGACTTTAGGTGAATTTGGGAAATCCTTCATACTTTGGGAGCCGTCATGATTTCACACACGATATTCTTTCTTAAACTCAATGGCATAGGGAGAGCACTCGCTATAGCCTGTAGCGAACGTGGCTCATGGATCACATTCGTGGTCATGTGTATAAATGGTAGCCAAGCTGCGAGAGATTTTACCACATAACCAAGTATATATATCCCGCTGTTAGTATCTTTCGTCACAGCTCCTCGGTCACACTAGAGCAAGTCCCTCAATGTCTCTCACATGGCATCACATGACAATACGGCAAAACCGACATAGTTGACACCCTGGTCGCCATTTATGTTTTATTTAAAGTAGACTGTATGGAGATTGGATGGATGGTTGATACAAATTAAAGTATTATCATTATCAAATTGCTACAAGCCCACAACAAATGTATATTATTATGCACTATTTTTTGCTCTTCAGTCATCGTCGGATCAGAGTCACATTTGGAGCAAATGGAGAAGCTTGTTTCAAGCTGGTACAAAGATGGAACCTTGCCGGAGAGTTTCATATGGCCACCGGATTCAAGACCCGGGAAGCTTGCAGCTGCTCCTTCATGCAAGAACATTCCGGTTATTGATCTTGGTGGAGCTGAAGGGGGTGATCATACCTACATCATTCACCAAATACTCGAGGCCAGTCAAGAATTCGGATTTTTTCAGGTTCCTTATCAGAACTTGAAGTTCTTCCCTTAATTGTCGATATTCTAGTTAAGTTAGCTAATGATCGTTACAGCTGTTAACTTTCTGTTAAAATTGTTAACAGTTTTGTTAGAGTTAGGTTTTCTGTGTTTAGGCTCGCTTGTGTACTATCGGATTTTCATCAATGTGATTTCCAAATGTTGCAAAGCAGGTAATCAACCATGGCATCTCAGATACTCTGTTAAGTGACACAATGAGTGTGTTGAAGGAGTTCTTTGAGTTGCCGCTAGAGGACAAGGCAAGCGTTTACTCTGAGGACCCCCAAAAAAGTTGCAAGCTCTTCAGCAGCAGCGTAAATTATGATGCGGAAGATGTTCATCTTTGGCGCGATGTCCTGCGACACCCTTGTCATCCATTGGTGGAATGCTTGCAAGATTGGCCTCAACAGCCAAGTAGATATCGGTAAGGCCTGCAGTTTCACGTTCAGAAAAATACCTTTTTTTGTATGCATATATTTGTCCATGATTCATATGAATCAATTGTTGATGATTTCAGAGAGCTTGTTGGGACATGTTCTACACAAGTGAAGAAACTGGCTCTGAACGTTTTGGAGCTAATCAGTGAAGGACTTGGGCTCGGAACTGGGTATTTCCGAAACGAACTTAGCCAAAACTTGATACTCTCAGTTAATCATTACCCGCCTTGCCCCGACCCAAGTTTGACATTAGGATTAACTAAACATTGTGACCCAAACCTCATAACCATCTTAATGCAAGAGGATCATGTAAATGGACTTCAAGTTTTCAAAGACGGGGAATGGATGGGCGTGGAGCCTATTTCACATGCACTTGTGGTTAACATAGGCTATCAGTTACACGTATAGTTCAGTAGATTCAGTACCCTCTTTACGTGGAAAAATAAAATTATAGCGTATCAGTCTCCTTAATTACCAATTTTTGTTGACGTGGGATGCAGATCATCAGTAATGGGAAGCTGAAAAGTTCTGAACATCGGGCTGTGACGAATCCATGTAATGCTAGGACATCTGCAGGATTTTTCGTTGCGCCTTCTTATGTTTGCGTTGTAGAACCTGCAAGAGCTCTTGTTAGTGCAAGCAATCCCCAACTATATAAAAGTTTCCAGTACGAAGAGTTTCTTCGCAACTTTAATACGATGGTATTCGAAGGTAAAAGCGAATTTGCAATGGAAAGCTTTAAGCTCCAAACTTAGCTGATGATGACCAACAGTTGATTACAATGGAGCGAAAAGTAAATGGAATGCAAGAATTTAGATGGATCTGAGTGTTGTATGTGGTCAAATATCCTAGTGGATAGGATGCGGAGTTTCTACCTATATATGCATCATAGATTCTAAACTCTCCCTCCCCTTAATAATAAAATTTGAGTGTTGTTCATTTGAATAAATGTGTTTTTGCTCTCTGTGAAAGCACAAAAACCGAACTGGTTGAAATTTACTTTTATTCATTGTAAGATTATAATAAGAGTTTTTAATGAATGATCACGCTTAATTGCTTACATCCTAATCCCTTTTTAAAAAAAATTATTTCCCTTCATATATTCGTCTTTCCAACTTGATTTTATTAGGTCCGGAAGCCTCAATATTTGTTCCTTTCACTTGTCAAAATGTTGTAAGTGAAGCAGGTGATCAACTATGGGATATCAGACAATTGGATGTCTGGTGCAATGGCGGAGTTTAAGGAGTTTTTCGAGTTTCCTGTACGCATCTGCTCTGTTGGCAGCAATAAAAGCTGCAGGCTCTTTCCCAATATTAAGACTTATAGAGAAAGCTTGGAGAGGAAGAAATTTTTTAACTGTGATCCCTGTATTTATCATTGAACAATAATTAGTTATACACTTGGTATTTATAATGTTAATAGAACTAACACTTTTACATATTTACCCTCAATAATACTAACAATTACATAGTCAAGTATAACAACTATACAGAAGAGAAAAGAACAGTACAACTATATTTGATTACTCTTTACACCCCTCAAGCTTAACTTGGCGCTGAAAAGAATCGAGAGGAAGCTTGGACTGCAAATACCGAAACCTGTGTTTTGTCAAAGCTTTAGTATGAATGTCTGCAAGTTGATCCTGACTGCAAACTATTGAACTTTGATCAAATGTGCAAGAACAATTTCTCTGATATAATGGTAGTCAATTTCCACGTGCTTAGTGCGAGCATGAAACACTGGATTTGATGCCAATGAAATGGCAGAGATGTTATCACACCATAAATCAAGAACCTTGCAAATCCAAGTGATTTCTGCAGTAGTGTGAGCTAATGGCCTATATTCAGCTTTTGTGGAACTACGAGCAACATTGGATTGCTTCTTGGCATTCTAACTAATCAAATTGGATAAAAAAAAATGCAATAACTACTTGTACATCTTTTGTCAAACGACCAGCCTGCCTAGTTAGCATTTAAGAAGGCAGAGAGATGAATTGAACCTTTTTTGAACCATAAACCTTGTGTGAGAAAACCTTTGAGAAACCTTAAGATTCTCTTGGCTGCCTGCAAGTGAGATTCCCTTGGAGCATGCATAAACTGACATACTTGATTAATTGCAAAGGATAAATCAAGCCGAGTCCATGTCAAATATTGTAAGGCACCAACTATAGACCTGTACTCTGTAGGATTTGAGAGAAGTGGTCCAGTGTGATCAAGTTTGATGCTGCTCAGAGGGGTTGTATAAGGTTTAGCACCTTCCATTTTTATTTTCTGAAGCAAGTCAAGTAAATATTTACTCTAATGAAGAAATAAACCTTCATAAGTCTTTTGAATTTCAAGACCAAGGAAATAATGCAAAGAACCAAGATCCTTGACTGGAAAGACTGAACTAAGCTTCTGAATGAAGAGTTTGTAGACATCTGAATTTGGTCCAGTCGCTAGAATATCATCGACATAGACCAAAACAATTACCAAAACATGAGCTTTAATAACAAAGAGAAAAGCATCTGAAGTTGAGTGTTGAAAACCAAAAGACTGCAAAGTGTTGAACAACTTGTCAAACCAAGCTCTATGAGCTTGTTTGAGACCATAGAGAGACTTTTTGAGTTTACACACATGGTTGGGAAAATTAGGGTCACAAAAGCCAAGAGGTTGAGACATAAAGACACCCTCTTTGAGGTCACTATGTAGGAAGGCATTACTAATGTTAAGTTGATTAAAAAACCAGTCATATTGAACAGCAAGAGAAAAAAGAATCCTAATTGTTACAAGTTTAGCCACTGGGCTAAAAGTCTCTTTGTAATCCAATCCATCTGGCTGATGAAAACCCTTGACTATAAGCCAGGTTTTATATCAATCAATGCTACTATCTGGATGTTTCTTGACCCTGAAGACCCACTTACAACCAACAACATTTTGATTAGAAGTAGAAGGCACCAATGACCATGTACCTGTGGACTACAATGCATTAAATTCCTCTTGCATAACATTTCTCCAATGTGCAAACTTGGATGCTTGAAAATATGTAGTTGGAACATGATCATTTGAAGAAGGCAATGGATGCTTAGTTGCTGAGTAAATCTTTGGTTTAAAAACTCTTACTTTAGACCGAGTAACCATTGGATTTATATTGGTAACAACATGAGGAACTGTAGTAATTGAAGAAGCTGTACTTGATGATGATGCATGATCTTCATGTATTGGAGATTCAACATTACGATGATTACTTGGAGTAGGAGTAGTCATTTGAGGAATTGGTGCTATAGATGGAGCATAATGAGGAATGGTAAACTCAAGACTAATAGGTGAAAATAACGAAGTTGATGAAGTAGTAGATGCAGTAGCTATAATCTTGTGATATGGAAATTCTGATTCATTGAAAATGACATGCCTGGAAATATAAATGCTCTGAGTGAGTGGATCCAATAACCTGTACCCTTTATGTTGAATGTTGTACCCTAAGAAAACACAATGTTTACTTTTACTATCCAATTTGGAAGAGATGTAAAGTTTGAGCCATGGGAAGCAGCTACATCCAAATATTTTCAACCGTGAATAATCTAGAGGAATGTGAAACAAAAGTTCCCAATGAGAATGGGGAATACCAGCGATAGGGAGTCAGTTAATCAAATAGGCAGCAATTGAAAATGCTTCAACCTAAAACTGATGAGGTACCTGATATTGAACTAACAAAATCCTTGCAGTTTCAACTAAATATCTGCGTTTATTCTCAACACAACCATTTTGTTCAGGGGTATGAGATTAACTTAATTGTTGTAAAATACCATGAGACTTCAGATAAGATTGAACATTTTCTACATAGCATTGAAAGGGAAAAAACCAACAATACCTACTGAAATCATCAACAATGACCAGATAGTATTTATAACCACTCACAGACAACACAGGTGAGGGTCCCCACAAGTCACAATGCAACAAACCCAAACATTTGGATGAAAATGAACTAGTACTATTAAAAGGAATTTTATAATTCTTGGCTAAAACATAGTATTTGCAGAAGAAATCCATTGTAGATTTTCCCTGAAGTGCAAGTTGAGTAGTAGAATGTACAGGGTGGCCAAGTCTGCTATGCCACACTTTTACAAAGGCTTTATTACTAATTAATGTAGTAAGGGAAGATACTAAAGAGTTACAGGGTGAGAGGAGCTTTGAAGAGGGAAGAAACCATCCTTAACTGGTCCTTGTAAAAGCATCATCTCGGTAGTACGATCCTTGACATAGGATCCATCAATATCAAGAGTCAATGAACATTTATTATCTTTAATAAACAAATAAGCATAAAGAAGATTGTGTTGCATTTGAGGCACATGCAAGACATTGTGCAACTTAAATATAAAGTATGGAGTATGCAATAAAGAATAACTATTATGATCAATGGACATACCTTTATCATCACCAAAGTATACTTTGTCTTCTCCATGATAACGTTTGGGAGATTGAATGTTGGAGATGTCATTTGTAATGTGAGAAGTATCACCATAATCAATTAACCAAGATGGAGTATTAGGCTTCATTGAATGATAAGCACACATCACAACCGACTTTGCAGAAGGTACTTTATCAACAATCTCAGGATTCATATGATCATTACAGTTGATAGCCTCATGACTAGTAGAACCACATATTTGACATTGTATACGATAACCAGATGTATTGAAATTGCGAGAGCCACGATAAGTGCCACGGTGATTGGAATTGTTACCTTTGGAATTGTAATTGGAACCACGATTACCACAATTATTGTAGTTATGGCTCGATTGTTGTAGTGATTGCCTCGATTACCAAGATTGTGCTTCACAAAATTCTATGATTAAGGATACTAAGCAACAAAGACTTGTGGTATAGGAAGAATAGGAGCTTGAGAAACCTGAGTGTGAATTGAAAAGGCTTGAAATGGTTATGTGACATTGGAGGAAGCAAGTTTCTTTCTCCGAGCCATGGACAATTCCTTGATGAGAAGTAAACTGTGCAATTCATCAAGTGTTGTGGAAGAAAGACGAAGCATGATAAAATCGATAAATGACTCAAATTCATCTAACAATCCAGCAAGTGTAGCAACGATCAAGTCACAATCGGTAACATGAGCTCCAGTAGCATTCAATGAATCATAGATCTTTTTGATTTGCTGCGGATATTCAGAGATTGACAGAGATCTTTTATGAAGAGATTGAAGGCGAGATCGCAATTGGTGAATGTGTGCATCAGAAACACCACCAAATCGCTGCTCCAATTTGATCCACAAATCTCAAGATGATGAAACCCCAACAATTAACGGAATAACTTCTTCAAAAAGTATAGAATTTAACCAAATAAAGAGATTCTAATCTTTTTCATACCAAAGTTCAAGGGCCGGATTGATTGAATGATCTGGAAGCAGAGGAGAATGACACGGTTCTGTGCCATCAATGACACCAATGAGTTTGTAGCGGCAAAGAATCAGAGCAAACAACGCACGCATTAAAGCGTTTCAACCTGACCAGAACCATGCTTCCAATATTTTGAATCATAAGAGAAGTATACAAATGTGAGAAGTTAGGGTTTGATGAAGATGAAATTGGGGTCGGATTTGGCACCGACTCGTGAGAGGATTCCGACGAAGAAGCCATAGATGCACACAATACAGCTTCTCAAGATCACAAATCAAAGAAACAAAGAAGAATTCTCTTCGAGAATCAAAGAACGCGAGCAGAAATTGGACGGTTCGAAATCGCCGAAGACAAATGGCGAGTGATACCGTATCGAGACTTATAGAGAAAGCTTAGAGAGGAAGAAAACTTTTAACTGCAATCCTTGTATTTCTCATTAAACAATAATATTTATACACTTGATATTTATAGTGTTAACAGAACTAACACTTTACATATTTATCCTCATTAATACTAACAATTACATAGTCAAGTATAATAACTATACAGAAGAGAAATGAACATTACACCTATATTTGATTACTCTTTACCCAACACTGAAAACTACGACTGGGAAGGCGTGATACAGTAAGGAACTGGAATAGATATCTGTATTTTCAGAAACAAATTATTGAAGATGTTTCAGAGAGCATGTTTTGTCACATGATTATTTGCTTGCCTTGTTTCAAATTTCTGAAGTGCAATGCGTTCACTACGTGCATTTGTTTATGACAAACATCTACGAGACAAGTGGTTTATTGAACTTTGAGGGGTTTGGTCTTAGATGCAAATGTGTGATACCATAAGCGAATCATTTTCGATCCTTAACATACTTGTTCCCACGCGTTGGATGGGACTTTTACGATCTAAGTTGGTTCTTGACACAGGAAATCTAAGTATGTCGATAGATCTTATTTAATAAGTAGAAATGTTTCTTTCTTGTATGCAACGTTATTTTCTTCTATTTCTGTTCATTCATTATCACGTTAACATCAGCTGCCAGATTTGGATTGACGGTGATGAATATGTATGTCACGGCATGCTTTGGTGGATGCATATAACTAATAACAGTATGGTAAACCAATGAAGAAAATTCTACATATATATGGAAAGTGCAATGCAAGTTGTGAGTTGGAATTACAAAGCAAATATAATGCATGGTGATGGTGGATTGTGTATGATAAGGATTGAATTTTTAGGGGTTTAGTTATGACAAACATCTACCAGACAAGTGATATATTGTTGAATTTGAGGGCTTTGGTTTTAGATGCACATGTGTGATATACTTGTTCACCGTTTCAGAAATTTGAAGATCCTCGATCTTGAAGCACTCTTCTTTGTGCATTATATGTTCACCTGCATCCATCAAATTTAGAACCATGTGCAATTGCATCTTTCGCTTCCCTTTAAACCGCCTCACTTCATTCATGATATTGGAGAGAAAGGGAAATTAAAAAGCATAACGTTAGATAAGCAACTGTTTGTTAGTTGTTGCTTATTTTTTCGTTGCCTATCACCTATTTTCTTTTAGTGGGATTCTTGGTGTACCTATATTAATAAACTTTGAGCTTTACATTCCCACATAGCCACTAAGCCATTTGAATGAAACTCATAGTCGCACCATGTCATTGGGTCCTAGTTTATTTATTTAAGGCAAGTGCTTGTGACACTTCAATACAAATGACCAGGCTGTTAAGGTCTCTTAGAAACGATCAAGTGCATAAAACCTATGGTTAGGATGCGGCCTTAATAGGTTGGCGGATAACATCTGTAAAATGTTTAAACAGGATGATGTCATTGATATGTGTAAAATACAACATATACAAGTTGTTGATGCACAAAATCGGAGGTCTTCGTACAACGTAAATCCAACCGTGAATCTGCATGAAATGTAAATAACACAAGATGTATTGTGGTTCACCCCAAGGTTTGAGCTACGTCCACCCTGATTGTATTTCTCTTAGAGTATTTGTGAGGGAGAGAGTGTGAGAGCTTTGCTCTAGATAGGAGAGACTTAGGGTTTGTGAGGGTAAAGATGCCCTTTTATAGAATAAGGGCTCATCCCCTAATTACATATTTGCCTTTTCCTTTATTACATAATTACATTTAAGTCCCTCGAGTATTTATACTAGGTCTAAATACGAGGCCCTAAATATGGTATAAACAGTAGTCCCCCAAGTCTTCAGTCAAGAGAGTCTTTTGGTTGGAGACTTGAAATTCAGTCCATGTGTGGGCCGAAGTAACTAGATGTTGTCTTGAACTGATGTTCGATATGAGGCGGTGCTCAATCTGAAATGATGTTCAACTAGAAGTAGCACATGCTACTCGGCTGCTCGGCTCGTGGCTTATGTTGCCTTGGTTAGCTGGGCTTGTGGCGTTTGACGGTGAGGGAGTCCCTTTTATAGAATAAGGGCTCGCTCCTCAATACATGAATGATGGGCTATAGTTGATGCTCGCGGTGAGGCGGATGCTCAGTAGGCGGCGATGCTATCTAATGATGATGATGGAGTCCCTTTTATAGAGTAAGGGCTCGCTCCTGAATACATAAGTGATGAGTTAGGAGTTATGCTCGCGGCGAGGCGGTTGCTCAGTTGGGGACGTTGTTTTCTAATGAAGGTGAGGGAGTCCCTTTTATAAAATAAGGGCTTGCTCCTCAGTACATGAATAATGGGTGCTCTCTAATGAAAGTGAGGGAGTCCCTTTTATAGAATAAGGGCTCGCTCCTCAATACATAAATGATGGGCTGGAGTCCCCCAATTATTTTTTTATGAGGCCCAATATATGGTACATAATGTAGTCCCTTAAGTCTTCGGTCAATAGAGTCTGTTGGCTGGAGACTTCAAATTGTTTTATGGGCCGAAGTGGCGGTTGTTCGGATGCGGTATTTGTATACCCTGCACTAAAGCTTTTGTAGGTGAAGCTTTGCAATAAAGCTTTGAAGCTAGAGCTCTGTAAATGACGCTTTTGAAGCTAGAGCTCTGTAAATGAAGCTTTTGAAGCTGATTGACATGAGTGATGCTCATGAATGTTGACATGAACGATGGTCAAGAATGTTTATGTATGATTGTTATGAGTGTTGCTCATGAATGTTTATGTATGGATGACATGAGTAATGCTCATGTATAATTTAGAGTACTAAGCGTACTTTTGATCACTTGGTTGGTGGCATGAAGGAGAGTACGGGTTGTACATTTCATTACTTGGTTGGTGGCATGAATGGCTAGTTGCCAAATGATATTAGAGTATGGGTTATACATTTCATCACCTGGTTGGTGGTAATAGCGGCAGGTTGTCGAATAATTTTGGAGTACTTAGCGTACTTTTGATCACCTGGTTGGTGGTAATAGCGGCGGGTTGCCGAATAATTGTGGAGTATTGGGCATACTTTTGATGACCTGGTTGGTGCTATTTCGAGCTTATGGGCCTTCGCCCTCTATACAACATTCCAGCCCATTTATTTTGGGCTTTGCCTTTTTTTTTTTTGTTACCCTCTGAGGGGGTTTATACAGATGTCTCCGAAAGATACAAAAAATAAATTACATCATTCAAAAACAAGAAAAGTAAATCATATCATTCTGGTGGGGTGTTTATTCCTTACTTTTACCTTCTGCCTTTTCTTTTGCTTTCTGCTTTCTCCCTTTGTTTTTGTTTCCTCTTTTCTGCTTCATGGCAAACAAGAATGATTAATAGAATTAATAATAAGAAAAGAATCTTTTCTTTTACTTTTCTTGATCTCCCCGCTCATTCTCTGTACCTTCTTTTGGCAGACAAAATGAGTCATAATAATAGAAAGCTTATCTTCACTTTTGCTTTTGCAGACTTGCTTTACAAACATCTCCATAGCTTTTCCCACCAGGTACACATGTACTGGCCGGAGTAGAGCTGGCCGATCCAGCTTGGCTTCCAACTCAACCTCACTCGGCCCTTTCCAATCAAGAAGAAATTTAATTATCTCACCTCTGTTGTAACCAGCAGAAACATGGAGATGAGTTTGTGCCATAACGGCGAGATTGGTTTTCCCGAAGCAACTTCTGAAACCCAATAGGGTCGTCGGACTGAGTGCAGCCGTGGGTGGTAGTGGGCTTGGCAGATCTCAACTGTTGATCTGCACTTTTCTCGTTGAGAAGAGATGGACGATATGTGCGAGTACTAAACAGTACGGATCTCGACCGTCGATCGCGGTTGCAGGAATGAAACATCTCGGTTCGGTTCCAAATCAAGGAACGAACCACTGCGACAGCAACAAATCTGACGCCGGAACCTCCATCTCCAGAACGTCCCACAGAATCCCGTTCATGGTTGACGTCGCAGTGGGGTCGTCGTGAATGAGCGAGTTTCTAGATATGAGGCGTGAATAGTCCCCCAAGTCAGATATCCTCATTAGCAACCTCACCCTTCTGCTCAAAGAGCTCGTCCAGCGTCATTCTCGGAACCAGAGCTCTAACCACATCAAAGACATAAGCTTGAATCTGCTCGTTGGGGTTTTGCTGCTCATAAAATGCATTATCAGCATTTTCTTTCACCACCCTGTATTGAATTGAGCACACTAATTGCACAAACACATTATCCTTATTTTTGATCTCGATGCGGATGTCGAGGGAGGCGATCCTGGTGGAGAGGATGTCGGCGGCCCATTGACCGGCCAATGGGTTCAGGAGGTGGAAATCAGGTTCGGCGAGACTCTCGAAACGACCCCACATCTCCAAGATGCCTATGCTCGCTTGGTCTATGAAGGTACAGAAGCAGCAGCAGCAGCATGAATTGCCCATCTGGAATGGATTGGACTGGACCGTGTAGGTTTTTGGTGCGAAATTTGGGAACTGTGGAAATGAGAATGGGGGCTACAATCGTATCAGAATTCGAATTGACTACTCGAAATCTGAGGTTTTTAGGGGAAAATCAAGATATGGGTTTCAAGATTCGAATTGCTCTGTAACCCAATTGAATATTGAGAATATCTTTTGGAGGATGAACAGGGAGACCAACAGTGGCCGACCATCATCATCGAAATGATTAGCAACACGAATTCGGGTACTGGGTCACGTCACAAACACCCTTCAGCGATGCCGTCGGTGTCAACTCGGTGTCGGGGGTCGAGTCAAGGAGAGAGAAGAGAGTGATGATGAAAATGGATTGAAAAGCTGCAGGACTTGGAGAATCATAAGGAGTGTTGATTTTGGTGGTAATTATTGATGTGTCTGATGAGTTTGTTGTTGAAATTTGTGATGTTTTCAGAACTTCCACATGCTTTCTTGAACGGTTTATTTATTTATTTATTTTTTTTGCAGATTCACAGTGGTGAGATGAAAAAAATGAAAGAGAACCGACATGATTTTTCGTATCGATTTCCACAGACGGCGCCAAATGTTGATGCACAAAACCAGAGGTCTTAGTACAACGTAAATCCGACCGTGAATCTGCATGAAATGTAAATAACACAAGATGTATCATGGTTCACCCCAAGGTTTGGGCTACGTCTACACTGATTGTATTTCTCTGAGAGTATTTGTGAGGGAGAAAGTGTGAGTTTTGCTCTAGATAGGAGAGACTTAGGGTTTGTGAGGGTGAGGAGGCCCTTTTATAGAATAAGGGCTCCTCCCCTAATTACATATTTGCCCCTTTCTTTATTACATAATTACATTTAAGTCCATCGAGTATTTATACGAGGTCTAAATACGAGGCCCTAAATATGGTATAAACACAAGTCATTGACTTGAAGTACAAGTAACTTTCCTTTTTTATACAAGAATTATAAATACAAAATCAAGAAAGATAAACACGAAAATCAATTATAAAGGGAAGGATGTAAAAAGTTTAAATTGGATGATTTTATTGATATGTGTAGAGTACAATATATACAAGTCTTTGACTTGGAATACAAGTAACATTCCTTTTTATACAAGAACTATAAATACAAAATCAGAAAATATAAACACAAAATCAATTCCCTGTTATTAAGTGTAACATCTTTTTTCGTTATTAATAAAAAATTTCTCCTACCATCTAGGTTTAAAAAAAAAAAAATTCCTAAAAGGAAGGAGAATCTTGAAAGATTTGGCGAGATAACTGGCTTCCAAGGGATACTTTTTTTCATGTGTTGAGTCCTTCGCCGGCGGACTGAAATGTGGAGGCTACAGTGGATAGCCTGTTTGTTACAGGTTTGCCGCAATGACATGTGGCTCGGGTAAGAGCTTTGTTTTCTCAAGAGCAAGCGGATCTTATTTTGAGTATTTCGTTGAGTTTCCGTTCGTCTCTGGACCGTAGAATCTGGCATTTTGAAAGGAACGGGAAGTTCACTTTACGAAGTACGTATCATGTAGCTAAGGCTCTGGTGTCTGTCACAGGAGCGGGGCCTAGTGGGTCTGATTCAATGTCTGATGATGGAAGTAGTAAAGTGTTAAGAAAGATTTGGAATGCCTGTGTGCCCGGGAAAGTTAGGATTTGTGCCTGGAGAGCATACATGAATGCTTTACCCACGCATGGTAATCTTGTTAGGCGAGTGGTGGCTGTGGAGAATGTGTGTAGTATTTGTGGAGGCTATGGTGAGTCAACTGAGCATGTATTAAGGGACTGTAGCTTGGCTAAGACCGTTTGGTTTGGAGGCCTGGGAATTAGGGTTGACGATGGCAACCACACTCAATTTATTTCTTGGTTATCTTCTGTTGTAATGTAATCCTCCCGATGGTATTAGACCTTTGTTTGATGATTCTATGGCGGTTATGGAAGAATCGAAACGATGTAATTTGGCATGGTAAGTAGGTAAGGGCGGAGGACCTGGTGCTTGAAGTTGACGGTTGGTTGCGTGATTATCAGGAGTGGCATAAAAGAAGCTCCTCAAAGTCCACTACTCCACCGCAACAATGGCAGAAACCGGATGTTGGTTAGGTGAAGTGCAACTTCGACGGAGCTTGGATCCAGCAAGGTTCCAGGGGGGGGGGGATTCAGTGTCATAATTCGAGACCATCAGGGAGTATTTATCACTGCAGCTGCGGGTTTGATTGGTCCGACGGGTTCTGCGTTCCATGCGGAGCTCTTTGGTGCTCGACAAGCTATGTTGTTGGCTCAATCGTTTTGTTCTGTGGGTGCAAGGATGGTGTTTGAGGGTGACGCGAGTATGGTTTTGGCTGCCATGCAGAGGCGGGAGGAGGATTGTTTAGTTCTTGGGCCTATCCTTAATGACCTGAGATTCTTATTACAGTTTTTCCCTCAGGTGTGTTTGAATTATGTGAAGCGAGGTGGTAACGAGGCTGTGCATAGGTTGGCTCGGGTTGGCATTGGAGGTATTCAGCAATTCTTATGGTTTGAAGATCCCCCTGATTTTATTATGGGTGTTTTGGTTGATGAAAGTTTGTAATTTGTATTGGTTTTTCAGTATTGGCATATGAGGACAGCTTTCTTGTCGTGCGGGATGCTCTTTTCCTTAGACCGGGTTGAAAGTCCTGACAAGATTTTTATCGAGGTCCTTTAATCCACACTATCCTTAGTATGTATGTGATCTCTGTTTCGCAATAAAGATCGTCCACTTTCAAAAAAAAAAAAAATATATATATATATATAGGCTATAATATCATTATAGACAAACATATCGGCCGTAGGCCTCAATGACATCAATACTCCGGCTTTAATCTTAGGGGTGTGCTATCCACACATTTCATTTTACTTCTTACACACCCCTTGTTAATTTCTATCCGTTGATTTTCTTTAATTCATCCGATCCGATGGCCGAAAATTAGAAACGTGTGTGAAAAGTAAAATGAAATGTGTGAATATCAAACCCCTAATCTTATTTTAGCTAAAATCACATCCTAAATTAATGTTGGTAAGAATTCATTTATATTCTTGAATCTTGGTATAAACCATATGCTGGCCAGAATTAATTTATATTCTTGTATCTGGCCAATTTAACCGCTAAATTAATTAGACCAGATAGCATAAATTCGGTTACAAACAATTCTCAATTCTTTTCTCCCTTCCTCTCTTGGATTCAGCTATATTCCTATTATGGTTTCGAAGGCTTTAATTTTAAATTTTCCCCCAACTTGGTTAGGATCCGTTTGTTTTTGGGAAAGAAAAAGGTAGCCGATGGTTCACCAGTATAAAAATAGGCTTTAGTATTCTCACATACGCACCTTCAATTCCATTTACTTTGCATTGGACGACTTCAATTGTCTTCCCGTGTTTCTTTTGTAGTTGTACGCTTCTTTTATCTTCAGGTCAGAATTCTTCGTTGGTCAGGCAACTTAAGCTTCAGCCATGAGCAAACTTCAGAGTGATACTCTCCGAGAGGGTGTTTCCATCATCATGAATGCGTCCAAGGAAAAAGAACGTAACTTCAGCGAGACTATTGAACTTCAGATTGGGCTGAAAAATTATGATCCCCAAAAAGACAAACGTTTCAGTTGTTCTGTTAGGTTGCCACACATCCCTTGTCCAAAGATGAAGGTCTGCATGCTTGGAGATGCTCAGCATGCTTAGGAGGCCGAAAAGATTGGGTTGGACTATATATGGATATTGAAGGGCTGAAGAAGCTAAACAAGAACAAGGGGTTGGTTAAGAAGTTGGCGAAGAATGCCTTTTTGGCTTCAGAAGCCGTTATTAAGCAGATTCCCCGTCTTTTGGGTCCTGGTCTCAACAAGGCAGGAAAATTTCCAACCCTTGTTACTCACCAAGAATCCCTCGAGTCTAAGGTTTCCAAGACAAAAGCAACGATCAAGTTCCAACTGAAGAAGGTCCTTTGTATTGGAGTTGCTGTAGGGCATGTATCCAAGGAAGAGAAGCAGATCTTCCAAAACATGCAATTGAGCGTTAACTTTCTTGTTTCTCTGTTGAAGAAAAACTGGCAAAATGTAAGGTGCTTGAACCTGAAGACTACTATGGGCAAGCCATATCGCATCTATTAAGTACTTTCGCTTATTTTGGGAATTTTTTAGGGAGTTTAATTTGTTGTGTTTTCTCTAATGCATTATTATCCCTTTATAATGTTACTTTTATGATGTAATGTTTTTGTTATGAATTTAAAGATTTTACTTGTTACGAATAAAGGTTTTACTTCTTGTAGGATGTAATGGTTTCATTTGTCTATACACGAAGTAGAGTTGAGATGAGTTTTGCATGTGAAAGTTGAATAAGGCATGCATTACTACTCCTCTCTAGGATTCAATCGTGTCATGTTCCTATTATGTTCTGGAAACCTTAATTTTAGATTTTCTCGACTTGTTTATGAGTCCGTTTGTTAATTAGAAAGGAAACTAGCCAGAACTGCATTGACTAGCATAAATATAGACCTTAACTTAGTATCATTTGAGAATGAATTCCATATAGATGGGAAGACGGATCTTATATGGACTAATAAGTAAGTTAGGGTACCGTTCATATTTTCAATTGGTTTTATGGTGAAAACATCAACTTTCTTTATGACCAGAGCTAGGTTATCCCATGTGTGAAGTCCCAATAGTCACGTGTTTCACGCCACCCAAGTTATGTTGTCCACATGTTTGGCCTAAAAATTCACCACACGTGAGGGACATGTTAAGAATAAATGCCACATTGATAGAAGAATGGACCATGCATAGACTTATAAGTAAGTTGGGCTACTATTTATATTACGAATTAGTTTTATGATGAAACCTTAACTTTATTCAGTATCCTCAACAAACTCATGATCTTTAATTTTTTTTTTTTAATTTTAAATTTTTTTTTA